CCGTCGGGATGTTGCAGCCCCGTCGGGATGTTCCAGCTCCGTCGGGATGTTGCCGCCCCGTCGGGATGTTGCCGCCCCGTCGGGATGTTGCCGCCCCGTCGGGATGTTGCCGCCCCGTCGGGATGTTCCAGCTCCGTCGGGATATTGCAGCTCCGACGGGATATTGCAGCTCCGTCGGGATGTTACAGACCTGTCGGGCAGGTCAGGAGGCCTCATTTTTCTTTGCCGCATTTGAGTGGGCAACACAGCAAACAACTGCTAACTGGGCCAAGAAAACCAACCAAAAACTGGTGACTGTCTGATGCTCAAAGAAGCGCTTGAAGGACCCGAAGCTGGTTTCAGGCCACAACATCCACCTGATAGAGCTTAAGAGAACGTTGTGAACGTTGAACGTGATGAGATAGAAATATACTGATAAGAGCCTGAAATAACCGAGAGTCACATGCACAGGATATCTTCTCCCCTGTGCACGAGGCATCCCCTGGATACCCCTCTGGAGAGCAATGTATGCTTCTAAGCACTTACCCTGTTACTGGCCAGGCTTTGATGACCTCCTCCCAGGTCCTGTCGGCTGCCCGATAGCTGGAGAGAGAAAAAACAGAAGCAAATTGGCGATGTTCCTCTGCTCACAGTGTGCATTAGAAGCGGTTTGCGCCCTATTAGCAAGTAAATCATGGCCTGGGAGGACGCCGACCACCCAGCACTGTCCTAACCCAGGCTGGAGGCCCCGCCCTCTATTAGGTGATTGGGCAGCCATGCAACCCTACATCATTCATGGCGACCTGCATGCAAATGAAGCCCACCTAGGAACTCCCACCCCTTATGAAAGACCACCAGCCACCACGGGTTGTAGAAGAGACTCAATGATGAGGCCACTGGGTCTAATATATATAATTAAAAATGGCACAAGGGGGGTAAAAAAATATTTTTGATGCTTTAATAGGGAGTAACTAGGACACGATTGAGATGATCATTTACACTACCGTTCACCTTTAAAGCTCCATTGAAACCTCAAACCCCTTTTCTCTAAATAGTACAGTACTTATATGTGCTTCCTGTTCTCCTACTCCGTTGCTCTGTGTAAGGACCGCATGCTTGATCACCAGCACTTTCACACAGACTTGTACAGCGGAGGAAGGGAGGGAGTGCGCCTGACCGGGTATGTTGGATTACAGAATGCACCGGGCGCAGCAGTCAGACTCTGGTGCCTATTGGACTGCCCAGCCGTAGTTAGACACCGCGGCGCTAGAACAGGAATGTGGAGGGAAGGCTATGAAGATTATTACAAATCCTGCCGATTTCTGAGGCAAGTCTTCATGATTATAGAAGTACCTCAAACCATGCAATCCCTATGCAAAAGACTTGAAAGGGATGTGCTCAGAGCAGGAGCAATGCCCTATTCAGGTGTATAGGATATTACAGAGCAGGCATGGGGGGCCCGACACTAGATTTGCCCAGCTAGGCTGCTGCCATTGCTGAAGGTGGGAGCCATAGGAAATGGACCTGCTGGAGGGAGCTAATGCATTTGAAACCTGTACAGGCACATGAGCTTCACAACATTTTGTTTTTGCTTTTGTCTTCTATGCAGGAACCCAAACCCACGAGCCC